TATCATAAAGAACTACCAGAAGGAAAAAAAAAGGTTGTGTTCAACTTAGTATAAAATAATGAAACTGTCTCTTTTGGCTTTTGCTTTATAGCTACTGAGCCTTTTTGCTGTACTAAGATTAAATTGATATAGTAATAAATATTCTCTACCTGAAATTTCCATGAAAAGTAAATTCACATCATAATTTGAATTAGTTAGCTGAGGCTTATGGAAAACCTAATAAGAAGATACTTGGGCTAAAACAACGCAAGTGTGCAATTCTGCTATATGGAATAAGAAAATGCATGTATTGTGTGTTATATATATGTTTTGGTAGCTGTGTGTTCTCTTGTACTGTGTTACAACTTCAAAGTTGAATAGGGTTAAAGTCTTAGAGATGAATTTGCTTATATAAGGAACTTTTAATGGCTTTTCAAGTTTAACTTGAGAAATATGGAAGTGTTATTTGAGGATTGAAGGATTATACGAACTTGAACACTGACAAAAGACAGTATAAAAATCAAGAGCTTTTTGCCTGCTGAAAAGTTCTGTGCCTTTGTGCCAAAATGCAAGATCTCTAAGTGACACAGAGACTTCAAAGCTCTGCTTGACAAGGGCTTAGTTAACAGTAGTGTTAGATTGATGAAGCTAAATAAAACATTTTTGTTGTGACCATGAATTAAAAATCAAAATAGACTGTTCTGGGACTGCATGGCAATGTGTCATTTGGGTTCTTAGGAAGGGAGCAAAGCATTTGATGGGGGCCTTTGAGTGTATTGTAGGAAAAGGCCACAGTCTTCAAGGTTTTACCTTGCAGGGCTAAATTTCAAGATACTTTCTCTCTTGCTGTTCTTGAAGACAACAGTTAGCATTGCTTACCTTCACAGGGCTTGAGAAATGCAAAATGAGCTGTAGTATTTTTAGATGCCGAAGTTTTAGCTGAATTTATTGCTTATTTGCTGTAATGAAGGACTGACTAGTGTGCCCCGCTGTGCTAACCAACATTCTCTACAGGGCTACACCTCGGCTCGCTGTTTTTTCTGTAATTCCAGCTACTGAGCTCAAAATGCAGAGGCAGAGCAGACAAAAGACCTATTGATTCAAGCCTGGTTTTCTCCATCTTTCAAGGGAATGTATGCTACTTATTTTCTGCACAGTAAGGCAGGTTGCAACCTTGTTTTTCGGTAACCATAAAGTGTTAATTTTTAGGGAGTTTTTAAAAGCTATAGGCTAATATTTTTTAAAGTGTTTCTTGTTAATTTACAACTCAGAAGGTTGACTAACTGAGTACTAAGTAGTGGATCTGTTGCTGGTGAACCCGATTAGTTTACTTTTTGATTTTTAGTGACTCAGATCTATTTGCTGACTTTGCACAGTATGAAAATTTGATGGTGTTTTTCAGGAGCTGATTTTGATAATACGCAGACCTCTTGGGAAAATCTTAGGGTCGGGGAAATAGAACAGAGGAGTTGGTTAGTGAAGTAAAGCATTTGTATGCATGAGGTTTTGTGCTGTTTGTGGCATGACAGGTGTGGTCTGTCCTTCAGTATTGTGCAGGAAAATGGCTCAGACATTTGTGCTAATGGCTGTTGAGAGGCAGGAGTTGGAAACAAAACTGTCTGCCTGGTCCCTTTCATAATTATGGAGATTGAAGTTGAAAGAGTATATAAGAGCGGGATACAAAAGTTACCAGGGAAAAAAGCATTTACAGCAAATCCCATTAAATTAATTGCAGCAGTTACTTGAGCTCAGGAAGCCTTGAATTCTGAAGGCTTTCCACCAAGGGAGCTTGCAACTTTATACCATGGATGAGCTTTAAGTACTTTTATTACTTGTTTTCACCAAATGGAAAGAAAGAATATTTGTGAAAGTCGAAGTTGTTTGGTTTTTTTTAAGACGATGTTTGTGAGAACTAAACCATTAAAAATGAGTTACAGTTTAAATGAAACCACTTAAACTTATGAGGCAAATCTTGTGTTCAAGCCCATTTTGGAGAACAGAGTTGACCTTTTAATGTCACAGTGTATTTCTAACTCGGGGATTCTGTGTGCTTTGGCTGTCTTGAGGTAAAAGAGCAAGTCCATAATGAATTCTGTCAAACAAAAATTCTATTTATGTTTTTATCATGCTTTTAGAAAGCCCATTTTTCTGTTTTTAGCTGAACCTGAAATTTTATCCATTACTGCTCAGGAGATATGTCACTGCTTCCTCCTTGCTGTTTGTGCCTGCTGCTGCTGTCCACCAGTTCTGGACCTGCAATATCACAAGAGTAGACTGATACCACAGGTAGAAGTGTGCCTGCAGTTTATAGAGATAAGACAAGCCGAGCTAATTTAAAGCTGCTGGCTTGGGTTTTAGTAGCACAGGAGCTGAATAGGTTTTGGAATGCCCGCTTGCCCTAACCTCAAGCTGTCACAGCAGTGTTGCTGCGCGTGTCCAAACTGGGCAGTTCAAAGCAAGCTCTGCTTTACCGAGCTAAGCTGCAGTCGCACCTCTTACAGCTGTGGAATCGCAGCCAGATGTAGATATTGTGCGTGGGCTCCTAAGGAAGCTGCGTGTGTTGGGAAGTCTGGACTTGCTTGGCTGCTCATTTGCTTATCAGATGAAAGAATTTAAAGGTGACTCAGTTTCTTGCTGCTTCCATAAAAGGGGAAGGCATCTGATTGTTCCTTTTTCTTTTTTTTTTTGTTTTAGAGCAACAACTATTTTGTTAAGTACTTTATAACCTAGTATTGAAGTAATTGAAACAAAACCAAACCCAAGTAGTAGGCTGTATTATCAACGTAAAAGTCCCTGTTAACTGTGCCCGCATTGCCACAGCTGTATGTCAGGTTTGGGGGATACAGCAGACAAATATAAATTAGATTTCTTGAATATCTTCATTTGTTGCTCAGGTAGCCTCGATTAAAGCTATGTGCAGGACAACAGCTACTTTTTAAAGTTCAGGCTGTGATTGTGTGTCTGTATGCTCATACATATGCGTGTACATAGAGAACATACTTGTGTGTTTTTTAGCTATAGGATTTTCTAGCTATTATTATCACAATACCTGTCTATCTAGGAAATGAGAAGGTTGACCTCAGAAGCTGAATCTCTAGGTGAGATTCACTTGATTTTGCACATGCTGGCATGCCTGCATCTTCCATTGCCTTCAGATAAAACTGGAGCTGCTGAGAACATTGGAATATTGGTTTATCAAATGGATGCATGAAAATCAGAGGCAAGCTCTGGAGCAGTTCACATAGAAATTTGACACACAGGTAATTAGGGTTTCTAGTATAGTCTTTCATAAAAGGATTTTCCAAGGATCTACTCATGTGAAAGAGATGATTCCTTAAAACGTATTTATGATTTCACATAATGTGGTAAACTGTTCATATCCACAGTCCTTGTATCCATTTTTGTCTTTAGAAAGCTTAATTTTCTGGGACTCTTCTTTATAGGAAACTCTCACAAAGTGTAGAAGTGTTTGAAATGTAACGGGTTTTATTTTTGTAAAATTTACTGTTTTATACTTACAAAGCTGATAAGTAGTGAGGAGGTTGTGTTCAATCTCTTAATTTCCATGAAGTAGTAATACATGCTTGAATATGTCACCACGCAGTGCAGTCACCTAGGAATATTTATTTTCAATGTTATTACTTTGGGTTTTTTTTAAATGGCTGTCTGTGTAAAGCTGTAGAATGAACTCTGCCCTACTTCCTCTGCCTTGTGTTGTCAGTTTTTCTCTTTTCTTTGCCCTGACCATATAGAATGTAGTATCTTGAAAAGGGGGGTTTTTTTCCTCATTCTACAATGTAGTGATAATTTTATCTGGTGAGTTTGTTGAATTTGATGAATTATTTGTAAATTGAAATTTTATTTACAGGAATATATAATACAAAATAATACATTTTCGGGATAGAGATTTAAAAAATAAACTGTATAATAAATGTAATTTATAATTATCATAATGATGAGTTGAACTGCTTTTGTAGTAACCAGGAAACTTGATTGATTTATGGGTTTTATTCTAAACTACTCCTCAGTACTGGGAAAAAATGTATTTTTAATAGACAAAGTTAGTGAATTTAATACAAATCTGGAGAGTGCCTATACTCAAATATAATGTGGTGCTCCAAGTAGGAAATATGTTCATATTTCGGAGAACATCAGCATTGTTTGGTAGACCCAAACTTCCTTTGTGAAAACTCATTCAAGAGAGTTGTTTCAGTACCTTTTTGCTCATTGTAGAGATGAGCTCATGAATATTTTTACTGTTGGTATCTATGTCAAACTCTCCTTTCTGAACAAACAAAAAGAGTATTAAATAAATCTATCAGCACTTTGCTGGCCCCTCTGAGACAAAGCGCATCTTTACAGATATGTAAGTGCTGACTAAACAAATTCATTATATCTGAGGCAACTGCATGTTGGACTTGACCAAGCACATTTGAAAGAAATTAGTAGTTTTTCCATTTCTGGTTGTGTTACAGATGTGATGGAAAGCCAGACTTTGCTACTCAGTAGTCACTTTGAGAAGTGCCTCCTTGCACGCAGTCATTTAAATAAACAGGGCTGCTTATTATGAAAAGTGGAAATTGACAGGAGAAAGAGTAAAACTTTTAAAAACAGGGTGCTGAAGGGTAGTGTGTAGATGTAGTAAGTAGGGAATGATTTTGGCAACGTTACTGTGAATGGGTTTGAGCTCTGTGTCTGGGCATGATTCACAGGTTTGGAATATACCCAGGCTAGAGCTTAAACCATCTTGATTACTGTATATTTTGTTTATACATCTCTGTTCCTAAGGATGCATTAACAGCAACAACTGGAAAGTAACTTTTTGAATATGCTAAAGGTATAGAGAAAGCTCAACCAAATATTTATGAATTTAGGTCAAAGTGGATTTGGATGCCCAAGTGTTAGAGCCAGTTTTTAGTCTCAGCTATAAATTTCATATGCAATGCTTTGCTGTTACCCATTTAAAATTATCGATGTTGAGAACTGCTGATCACTACTTAGGTATTTTCTGTCATCCCCAGGAAAGATGTCTGGAGACCGGGCTCTGAGGAAGCAGCAGCAATTAAATAATTTGGTAGCAGTGGTGGCAAAGCTTGCTAAGCCTGGAGATGTGATTGTGGATTTTTGCAGTGGAGGGGTAATGTATATTTTTGTTTACATGGTGCAGTTTCTTCAGCTTTTGCCTGCAGTTTTAGGTGGTTGCTGCCACAAAGCAAAGTACAAATACTGAAATATTAGCTGCTTTCAAAGGTTCTGTCACTGGTTAGGAGACGCTTGTCATGTTATGAGTCAACAACAGAGAACACTGAAAAGTGACTCAGGTTTTGTTGTTTGTTTTTGGTTTTCACAGGGACACGTTGGAATTGTTCTTGCTCACATGATGCCGTCATGTCAGGTAATTTCTAAATAGAAAATGAGTACGAGCTTTTGGTCTCTCATATTCATCTTAAAAAAGTGTGCATGCAGGGAGAATCAATATGAAGACACAGTTGTCTAAGCAGAGGACTTATATTTGAAACATGCAATTTTTTAACATGATCTCAAATGTGTGCAGTACTTCCTGAGAAAACAAAATTTATAGGAAAATATAAAATATTTAGTAAGCAGATCAATATTGGCAAGTATCAAATGCCTTCCATTGTTGCTGGATTTCCAGCTAATCATTTTGGAGATCTCAGGCTCTGCCACAAATGATTTAGAGGTTTTCTCAACTAAACTACGAAGTTTTGTGCTTGTAGTAGTGTTGTACTTTGATTTTGTGGTATTATTTTGCCTTACTTTCTGCTATGTATGAAATCTAGGTGGTGCTCATAGAAAATAAGGAATTGTCCTTGATCCGTGCTAAAGACAGAAGTGATGAACTAGGCTTAAACAACATTTGGTTCATTCAAGCAAATTTGGACTATTTTAAAGGGACTTTTAACATTGGGGTAAGTGATTATAGCTTTTCCATTTCAGAACTTCAGTGTCTGGTTAATTATTCTTAAAAAAAAAATCTGAGAAAATAAAATTCTGTATGTCCTTACAGACAAGTGTTTTTGATGCTCTTAGAAGCACCTTTGTTAGATTAATCTGTAGTAAATTTGTTTTGTATTTATTATTTGTTGCAAATTGGCATCGCTTGTATGTTACATTAGTGAAGAAAGAAGTATCTGCTCCAGTCAAATACAAAAACAGGAGTGTTGCCTGACCATGTTGGAAGAAAAAGTGAGGTAGATTTTTGATTTAATCATGTTACTTTAAAGTCAGTGTTTCATTAATAGATATACTCTGGAGAAGGTCTTGAAAATGAGAAGACTGCTGTTGCTCAAATTAAGCCTGAGTACAGTAAAGTGAGATCAGAGGTGTTTAGAAGACAGTAAAAGCATTTCAAGATAAACCAAGCAACTGAAGACTGCAGGATGCAAAACTGAGAAGGAGCCATCATGACAGAGAGGATGTTATACTAATGATATACATGTGTATTCATTATGTAAAGTATACTCAAGCTTTATTTATAAAGGCAGTATAATTTCTCAATTCTGTGGGACCTATGCTGAGCACTCCTGCTGCAGACACGAGGTGGTATTCGACTCCTGGTTAACTGTACATGAGCAGACCAAAGCAGGAATCTGAGTTCTGCAGGAGCAAAGTTGGTGATTTGAATACTGTTTCAAAGCATCTGTGTTAGACTCTGAAAGTAAATGACACGAATGTCCTCTCCAGAATTCTGCAGCCCTAGTGAAGAGTAAGGCATAGTGTTCTGTAACTTTGCAAAGATTCCAGTCTTCCAGTTTTATGTTCTGTTAAGAGAATATGAACTTCTGCAGCAAGCCCCAAGCTTTCAGTGTGAGTCTGACTGTTCTTTAAACCATTCATCCAAGGGTTTATTTTGGCTGTAGATTAGGATGTTAAATGTTGAAGTTTTATGGCACATGAACAGTGCTGTTCAACTATTTGGTTGGTTTATTTAATAAAGAAAAAGAAATATAGTGCAGGAGAAGGAGGAGAGAATAAATTATTTTAGCCCAGTCCTTCTAAGTGTACATTTTCAATTCTCTAGCTTTATTTTCTGTGCTACATTGTCATATAAATCTCAGTGGGTGAACTAGATATCTACTTAAAAAAATCAGGATCTCATGCATAATTTACTTAATTCTGTGCGTGAAATGTGTAATAGTTCATCATTGAAATCAATCTGCAACTTTGTCATTGTTGGAGTTTGTCTTCATTTTTTGGAGTCTATTTTTAAGGTTAATGCTAAGTTAAATATCACTGTGGAGATTTTATTTAATAAAAGAGTGTTACGTTCTCCCTTTTGTGACAAGGAAAATAACGAAGTGTATGTCAAAACAGTTCACTTGGAAATTCTTAATTTCTAGGCCTTTTTCTTTGACTTGATTCTGTAGTCTGTTCAACAGGCAAACCTGGAGCTTTTCCTTTTTGGAAGACCTGTATCAATCTCAGCTTCGGAATTAGTTTGTATTGTACTGTGATTCACTCTTCAGAATTAGCTCATTAACTGGGGATTAACTTTCCTATGCACACACGTTTAAGACAGGAGCTGGCTGGTTTGTTGACCAGTGGCACAAGTCTTTGGTGTGTTTGAAGGTAAATAATGTAAAGTTGAGCTGCTTTTATATCATTATGTCATGAACACTGGTCTGATGCAAAATGACAATTTAATACCATAATACATAGATATGTACAAAGATCAGCAATGCATCATTTCTAAACCCATCTTCTGAGGCTTGTAAAGCTATTCACTCATTGCATGACTTCACCATTTTCAGTAAAACAACATAGTGGAATATGGAAAGTGTACATGATGACAAGAATTTTACTGGTTATAGAACTTGAAATGTAAAAAGGTATAGCAAAATGAGTGTGACAGAAGTCTTCATCTCTCTGCTTTTGGCATTGGTGTAAAACATGTTTATATGCATTTTAGTTACCTTGACATCAAATCTGCATTACTTAGCTATTTTCATGCCTGTTGTCTGCCAGGAGTTCAAAAGCAAGTTAAAAAAAAAGTATTGACTACTTCACTTTTGCTCCACATAGAATTTCTGCTCTTATGAATTGTTGGGGTAATGCAGATCAGAGTTCTGAAACAACCTGTTTGAGAATCAAACTTACTGGTACATTGTGATATTACTACATGTTGTAGTACAACCACCCACCACAATGAAGGATTTCAGTCTAAAGGGTGAAAGCTTCCAAAAATACTTGCATGCAGTGTTCACTTACATGCCAACACTTAGAGGAGTCTTTGAGACCTTAGTTGTTTTTTGGTACTTACATAGTACTCATAGCATCTCAGCTCATTAGTGAGAACAAGTTGAAAATGTGTAAGGTTTGGTTGGGGGGAAGTGTATTTTCAAGTGTGTTGAGTTCTTTTCCTTTCAGGATCACTAAAGTGAACCTGAGATTTCATGAAACATTCTTTTCTCTTCACTTTTCTGTCTACACTAGGCTTTTCCAGGGAGTTGCAGCATCAGAGGAGTAATACAGGGCAGTGCTCTGGCACAGCATCAGCTCCATTGCTCTCTTCAGGGGCCTTTTTGTTTTCCTTTGTCTACAGCCATATGGATTTGTGAACCAAATGTTTCATCTGCATTAGTCCTCACTTTCCATTTCGTTTCAGATAATGAATTCAATATATAAGATATTCTGAGAAAGCTTTGTCTTGAATTTTATTTGTGATTTTTCATTTAACTAAATTGATTCTGAGAAACCCAAAGAAGATAGCAGTTGGTGTAAAAGTTCATACAGGCTCAGCAGGACTACTGGTTTTATCTGCTGCTGTTTTAAGGTCTCTTTTACAAACATCCAAGCAAAGCAGAGGTCTTTGCTTTCTGCAGGGATAGATGAGGCAACAACTATAATTATATTCCATGCTAATCTAATAGCTGTGATATTAAGAATCTATTTCTGATGTTAAAGTAGTTTTATTTTTGTTGTTAAATTCATATAAGCAGAAAACTTCCATTGTGAAATTATTTTCTTGCTAATTTTTAGTGTTCTGCATGAGACGAGAATATTTACCATCTGTATGCAGTTACAGTTCAGCTGATGATTAATGATCTGCTCAGCTGAGTTTACATCAAGCAGTCTGCAAACAAAAAAGTCTTTGTTTTAATCTGTATCTGAAAGCCCAGTTCTTATCTTCCAATTGCTGTACCTGGAAAAACAACTTTGAACCCTGAAATCTGAGCTGTGTGGTTTTAAACGTTTTTTCTAAATTCACAATGAACAAAAAGCAAAGGAAACAATGCAGTTTGCACTGCTGCATAAAATTAGAATATGCCTCAAAAATATCCTTAGTTTAATGAAAACATAGAGCAATGTGTATGCACCTGGCCTACTCTTTGAGTACAGAGAAGAAGGCAGAGAAAGTAATGCCTCCATTTTTCTGGCCCATTTGGTATCACAGGTATTGATAGGAGAGAGCTGCTTGCCTTTCCTTGCAATATATTGAGTACAGCAATAACTTGCTTTTCTATAGGAAAGTATGAAGTTACGTGGTTACAACTTGTACGTTGCCCAGACACACATCAATGCTTGTAGGTAGCTGTTGTGATTGAATGGCTTTCTAGTTTTAGTTTAAGAGCCCATCGCTAAGAAAAAGAAAGAAAATAATAAGGACAAAAAACAAAAAAGGAGGGCAAGTTATATCTGATGGTTTCCTCCCCTCCCCAGACATTTGTTTTCTAAAGGTTTTACTCAATACCTTACAATCAAATGATCAAAATTTATGCTCAAGCGTTGTCCTTTAAATGTGCCAGGTATATCTGTTACTTCTCTTACTGCTAAGTTGAAATCCAGTTTTGAAATGTTTCTTTGTATTTCTAAGTCCTTTTTGCTTGACAAAAACTTTTTGACTAATCACCACAACAGATTTTCTTTTAATGTTTTTCTGGACCGTCATTTTTAATTTATTTGATATCACAATGCAGCACACCTATGTTTTGAGTGCTTTTGGTGAGTGACACTTGTTCAGTGTTGATTGTTCCCTTGTTAATGGAATAGGCCATAAATTTTCCTCAGCGTAGATACGAAGTAGAGGAATGAAAAACTGAGGAATTAAGTGCCAGGCCTTTGGCATAACAGCTCTCATTGCAGAAACTTCCTCATATATTTAAGTAATCCAGTCAACCAGAAGAATAGTGCAACAAGATTGTATGTTGCTATAAAGAATTTACTTGTTTCTTTGGTTGTTTTTTTTTAACACTCTAGGTGGCTCTGCATGCATGTGGTGTGGCCACAGACATGGTGATCGAACACTGCATCAAGGCACGGGCAGCCTTTGTCATCTCCCCTTGTTGTTACGGCTTCGTTCAAAACACAGTGAAGTTTAAATATCCACGAAGGTAAACTAAAGCTAACAAGATAAGCTTTAGGTATCTACTTAAATGAAGGAAGAAAATAATTAAAGTACAGAATTAATCAATTGAAGATCATTGCAAGTGTCTCCCACCTTGAAAAGGGAAGACAGATTGGTAATTCCTGGGTTATTTTTTTGGTGGATTTATCTGTTCATAGTTCAGAAGACTTTTTATTATCAAGACAGTACATACAGTATCTGGGAATCTATGTAATATGCAGACCTTTTACCTTGAAATCATAAAGTTAATAGAAAACTCATGAAAATTACTGTAAGAAGGGAAATTGACATTTTAATGTTGGAGAACGATGTAAGCAAGAAATGGATCTGCTTTATACCACAGTTTACTGCTTGTGAAACTTCTGATTTATTCCCAAGTAGTCAAGATCTCCTGTATTTCAGTTCATATTTTTAATACTTTTTCAATGGACTACATAGATATTTTGTCTTCTTCAGATCTGTCATGTTGGAGATACTATATGTCTTAGGCTTAAGAATTTTAATGCCTTTGATATAAATAAATTGTAAAAGGTAAGCATAAAGTGGCAGAAGATAAGAGGCTATCAACTTTTCGAAGCAGAACTGGATAGAAGAAGAGGGTTGTGGGTTGGTTTGTTTTGTGGTTTTTTTTGTAAAGCTGAGCTTTGCATTTTGGGTGTCCAAGGTGAATCAGATTTAATCAGGACTAGGGAGAATCTTCCTTCTTTATTGGATGCAGGGTGAAACACACTGACTAAGGATGAGGAAAAGGCTTGAGGTACCTAATGCCTTCTTTGCCTCAGTCTTTAATAGCAGGACTGGATGTTTGCTGGGTACCCAGCCCCTTGAGCTGGAAGACAGGGATGAGGAACAGCATGAGGCCACCGTGATCCGAGAGGAAATGGTTAGTGACCTGCTGCACCCACTAGGCATACCCAAGTCTAGGGGGCCAGGTGGGTTACACCTGAGAGTGCTGATGTGCTCACCAAGCCGCTCTTCATAATTTACCAGCAGTCCTGGCTAACCAGGGAGGTCTCAGTGGACTCGAGATTAGGAAATGTGATGCCCATCTACAAGAATGGCCGGAAGGAGGATTCAGGGAACTACAGACCTGTCAGTCTGATCTCAGTGTCATGGAACAAATCATCCTGAGTTCCATTACACACTATTTATGAGACAACGAGATCATCAGGCCCAGTCAGTATGGGTTCATGAAAGGCAGGTCCTGCTTAACAAACCTGATCTCCTATGACAAGGTGACCCACTTGGTGGATGAGGGAAAGGCTGTGGATGTTGTTTACCTGGACTTCAGTAAAGCCTTCGATACTGCTTCCCATAGCACTGTCATGAACAGACTGGTTGCCCAAGGCTTGGATGAGCTTACACTCTGCTGGATCAAACACTGGCTGGGTGGCAGGGCCCAGAGAGTGGTGGTGAATGGAGTTAAATCCAATTGGATTTCATTTTAAAGTAGACTGGATACTGTTCAACTTTTGACCAGTTCCATTTTTACATCATGAAGACTGGAAATGCTCGATATGTTAGAAACCTTTGGTTGCTGTAGATGCTGCAAGAATGTAAAGTATGGGTTTGTGTTTGCTAAAATTTTGAATCTATCATCGTAAGCCTATGTAGAAAGTTATTTGGTTCAAAACATATTAACCCTAGCTCAAGCTACATTTTAGGGTTAGCTTTTTCTTTTTTTCCCCATATTTTATGTGATCATAAAGCATGATAGCCTGCTCATACCCCCATATTGCCTGTCTTCTATAGTCATTTCCACTCTAGAGACACCTTACTTTCATGATACCAACAAAATATATGCCTGTCTAGAGGCTGTGTACATGTAATATAAAGTATTTATGTGACCATGTGGAAACACCAGTAAATCTGTGCTAGCATTTATAATGATTTAAAGAGAGAATTTTTATGAATTGTATTGCATGAATAATAAATAATTATAATTTAATAATAATAAAAATAATAAATTATATTGTATGAAATACAGTAGAAAAAATGACATCAAATATGCTTTTCCTTTTCCAGTGAACTGGAACTGTAATGGTTTCTGGGTTTTTTTAATGCCTTTCTGTATGATGCAGAGATTGCTATTTTGTTTTAAATGTGTTCAAGTATGTACTTATTGCGTCTTTTTTCCACTTATGCTTTTTTAGATGTTAATTGAATTGGTCTAATTTTTTTTTCAGTCATCAGTTCAAAGAAGTTTTGTCCTACAAGGTATGTAAAAGGTTGGGGGTGGGCGGGACGGTTATGTGCAGTTCCTTGTGTTTCACTGGGTCTCCTTATCAATTGAAATATAAGTAATGCCAAGGGGAACATGTGTTATGTGAAATGTTCATTAGTAGTGCAGATGTTGTTCTGTTGCTTTCTCTCCACCATCCCCCTTTTGAGGCTTTTTTTTCTACAATAAAATTAGTTTCTCCACAAAATAACTTTTTTATCATCATGTATAAACAAGCCATTCCTAAGATACTTCAGCATGTATCATTTAACAGCTACATGATACCAATTTATTTAGTTCTTAAATACAATGTTCATACTGTGGAAATGTCTGGTCACTTTTTAGGTAAAATAGATATTATTTTCTGATAAACATTAGAGCTCTCCTAATGGTATAGTGAGTGGAAAGAATTTATACTCATCAGCAAGAATTTTATATAGTATTGTTTTAAAAAGTTATTCAGAATTATTTAAAAAATACAGAGATACCTTTTTACCCTGGAGAGCCAGGGTCTCAGTGGAGATTGTCTGAGAGAAATGTGGGAGAAAAAATCAATGAGGCACATAGATCTGACAGAAAGGAGATAACAGGGAGGAGTGAAAAAGGACAAGAGCAGAGAGGTGGACAGCAGACAACTGGTACTGCTCTGTTAAGCTTTGTCTAGTGTGTTTAAACTCAGTAGTGATAAGCAACCAGAAGTTTGAAGGTTAGGTCCACTTAATGTGGCATGGGAATAAAATGTTTCCATTTGAGAGAAGCAAGGTTATATAGAAACTAAATTTATATGTCAAATCCTAGACAATACAGAATGTCTACATGTTTACAATATAGAAAATGAATTTTGTAGATGCAGAATAATCCTTTGTAATAGAAACATGAGAGAGAGATACGGTATTTTTAATATCCAAATGTCTTTTGGGACAGTGAGCATAGCAAAGATGCTATTTGTAGCACGAAAATGGAGATTATCCTTTTTGATCCTCAGGTAAAAGGACATTTAAAAAATTCAGAAAATTTTCAGCCATCTTGAATAGAGAACTTAAATTATCTGGTAATACACTAATCTCATCTTTGTGATCAAAGAATCACAGAATGGTTTAGGTTGGAAGGGACCTTAAAGCTCATCCAGTCCAACCCCCCTGCCATGGGCAGGGACACCTCCCACCAGACCAGGCTGCCCAAAGCCTCATCCAACCTGGCCTTGAGCACTCCCAGGGAGGGGCCAGCCACAACTTCCCTGGGCAATCTGTGCCAGTGTCTCATCACCCTCACAGTAAAGAATTTTGGTGTACACTTTGCTAATTTACATGGAAATAAGTGTCCATAGATTGAGATGGTAAAAGTGGCACAGTGGATTTGGACCTGCCATTATTTTTTCCCTAGATTAACATTTTTTTTCGAACACATTTGTATGTTTCTAACACATAATCATGAAGAACTCAGGTTTCAGTTCAGAAAGAGTTTATTTACTATCATATTAAAAGTAGACCTGTTGACAGTACAGAGGGAGATGGTAACAGTTATAAAGTCAAGGATGCCTAGTAGAATAGAGTGTATAATCTCATTAAAGCTCAGTGAATTTTTTTCTTAATCTGTTAAACCATGGATGTTTAAATCACGGGTTTTGTCAACACCATAGGAGTTCCAGTATTTTACTCTTTGTGTTGCAGAAGGGCACAGGGGTCAAGGACAACACTAAAAATAATGCTGCTCTTAGTAATGTAAGAGTCTATACAGTCTAGGCTGGTTGGTGCCTCAAATAATCCTAGTTATAAATAACTTTTGTTATACAGCTAGCTATATGGGTTTTTGTATTTCATATTAATAAATTGTTACAGGTTACTGGCTAGTAGCCAAAGCTGCCATGTGTTAGCCAGACGCTGTCTGTGTCACCCCCCTTCAGTTCCCATTTTAAATTCGTTTCTCTTATCTTTCATTTTAGTGAGATCTAAAAAGGCATCCAGAAGTCTGGCAATTCCACAACCTTTTTGATGAGAACATTATGCTGTAATTCATTAGTTTATAGCTGCAAAGAATAAGGTTATGATAGCTGTAGGTTTCTACCATGATACATTTTGAGACTATTTGTCAAGACACTCTATAGGAGAGTTGGAAAGCAAAATTGAGTAACTTTGCACATACAGCTTTTAAAACTTAATAGGAATTGAAGGCATGGGTGTTCTAGTAAGCAAGCTAACTGTTTATGCACACACAATGTTTGGGCAGTTTATAATTAATTATCTTCATTATTTTAGAAATGCTTTTCTTATTCCTGCCAACAGGATGTGACAGTTTAATGACTCTGTCATGAGGAAACGATGTAGTCATAACTTAGGCTCTAGTTTAACTTTTTGGATCATCTCTGTAGGAAGCCAAGGCATTAGAGTCAGTCCAGATTTGCAAGTTGAGTGGTGAGGCTTACCTTGGCTGTGGATGAGCTGAGAACCTAATGTTGCAAAGAGCCAGGTTGTGTTGGGTGCAGGAAGGCTGGCGCAGACTTCTGTGCTGATCTGGGTCTTCTCCTTCTCCTCTGAATGCCTCTTTTCCTCCCCAAGCTGCTGCTTCTCTCCTCACAGCAGCCACATTGCCTGTGGCTTTTGTTCTCCTCCATTCTCCAGTAGTCACATCTGGGTTTAATGTTTTTCAGCTCTTTTGTACTACAAAAATAGCTATATTTGAACTGAGTATCACATTTTTAAGTCCTAAACTTGTTATAACATGTTCTTATTTTGCTTGCATATTTCTTATGGAGCTGTGAGCTGAAAGACTTCATGTGAATGAGCTGTACTAGGGAACAAATATCCCTGTCTCAAGATACTGTAAATTTATTTAAATGAGTAATATTTGAGTAGCAAGTAGCCATAGTATTTTATTTTATAATATGTGGGCAAACTTTTTCGTGGTCAAGTGTCTATTAAATTTATGAATTGGATATAGTGTACTGTGGAGGCAGTTGCCATCTTGATTTAATATGAAGAGGAGATTTCAATTCAGATTTTTTGTGAAATATGAAGATTTTGGGATGTTTATATCCCCCTAATAAAAAGCTGGAGTAAATATCCTTACTTCAGGATACTACAGGAAAGTGAAGTATCCTTAGGTGAAGTTGCTTTCTCCATCTCTTGCAGGAACCAAACCTTTAAAATCCTTATTTTATATCGGGCAAGAATTTTATTTTTTTTTAAAAAAAAGGTTTCTTCTTGATGCAAGACACTTGTCCTTTTTCAGAACTGGAGCTCTGGGAGCTTTGCCTAGCAGAGCACTTTTTGTTGTCCATTTCTGTTTTCTCCCCATGACATTATAGGACACTTGGGAATGTTGTGCAGTTCCAAAATGGTTCTGATTTGCTCTGTTCTGTACTTAATGTTGCAGCTGTCCCAGAGAGCACAGCTGTCATCAGAGCGTTAATTTCACTGCTACACCTTCAAGGCTTTTTCTCTCACCATCTGGCTGACTTGCCTTCCTTGGCTTGGCTGGTCTTTGAGGAACCGTTATGCGAGCAAAGGCGGTGGTTTTGAAAGGCAAATGGGGATGGGGTTGTGCCTGCTTGTGGAGTGACCTAAGCTGGGAGTAGGGTGGTGGGACTGACCCTCCACTGCACCATACCCCTAGGTGACAAGACAGGAAGAAATCAACAGCAGCTGGTGTAGAAACTCTGCAGAAACTTTTAAGCGGAACAGGGATAGTTTGAATGTGAATTGTGCTCATTTTGAGGTAGGAAACTTTCTCATTCATAGCCAGGGATTTTTTGCCTTCAGGATCTTTTGGGTTGATCCTGAATGCATTTGACAGAGCAGAGGGAGTTTGACCCACAAGACGATTCTTATGAAATTCAAAATCACTGCTTGGGAGAAATGTGCAGTAGTTCAAATCACCTATTTAAGAATTTTGTCTTGGCTGCTTATTGGTGCAGAGATGCCCCATGGTGACTGTGCTTAAAGAAGGCAGCGTTGCTGACCAGTAATGGAAGGCAAAGTTAGTCTGCAGTATGACTTTGAAGAATGCCATCTTGTATACATTGCATCCAATTCAACTGCTGCACAGAAACAGAGTGATTTTAGCAAGAAATAAATACTCTTGAGTAGAAATGAGGTTGTGGTTACAAACATTTGATTTACACACACATTTACAAGCTGAAGCAGTATCGTAATTAGGATTTGCACACATAATTTTTCTAGAAACATATTCTTCAACATGAGAGTGTCTTTGATACTTTTAAATATTTAATTAGATTTTTCTTTCTTTGTTTGGAAGAGAGAAATGCTACTGGACCACATTTCTTTTCTTTTTCTAGGAGCACATGATCCTTTGCAGATTTGCAGATCAGACAGCTGTTCAGCTTCCACCTGAACGCAGGCTAATAGGTATGAATTTCTGCAGCTGTTGTGTACACTATGTGTATTTACCTTGCTTATATAGAGGAAGAAGTAGTACATTTATCAACAGAGCATTAAGTTGCTATCTGCATGAAAAACTTGAAAAGTGTGTGTTTCTTCTCATTTCTCCTCTTGCTATTCTGAACCATGGTACAGAAACTTTTCTTCTTTCAGAATTATCAATGCGAGAGTTTGCATTTTATTGATTTTTTTTGTTGCTTCACTTTTTTTTTCCACTCGCCATTCTCTGAAAAGAATGAGGGCTTTGTAAAGTTTACTGAAGTCCTGGTATTGCCAGTTATCTTACATTAAAACCACAGGCTATTTGTAGTAGTGGTTCTCAGTGTGCACCCTTTGTCCTGCTTGGAATCGCTGGTGATAACTCCCTTAGAAGGGCAAACATCTAATGCCAGCTGGAAACCAGAAGGCTACTTTGCAGAGGCTGAGCTAGCTTTGGTGCAGGCAGGCTTAAGAACATACAAACCTATTTGGCCCACCTTATTATTAGTATCATCGTCATAATTCTAGGAAAAAGCCCAGAAGGTTTTCTGGGATTTTTTTTTTTTTTAATAGTGAATAATGTTTATAATTTGAAGACTTTGCTAAGAACATAGTTTGGCTTTACCTCTTACTTGGGGTAAACCAGCCTTCCCATCATGGGGAAACCTATGTTACAGCTACAGCAGTGCATAACTCAACTTTTACCTTTCTGTAGTCAGTTCTGTTTCAGGTTTGCACTTTATTGCCATTCTGAGTAAGAGCAGCTGCCTTCTGTCGAGTCATTTCTGTGCAATTAGTGGCCAAAGTAAGTTGATCCCCAAGATTTTAGTTTCTTGGTCAGGTGTCAGTTATTTCTGAGGAGAAGAAATGCAAGAAGCTGTCATTAAGATAATGGGAATTTCATTACTCAGAAGGACACCAAAATATGTAACACTTCGAATACTTGGAATACACAAAGCCATTTCTTCATTATGTGCAACATGCTAGCATTCTTTGACTCAGAAAAGTATATAGCATGATCCTATTTGGTATTAATGTTCTGACTGAAGCTAAGAACTGATTTCCAGGTCAGAAAACACAGAAGGACTGGGACCTCTCAGGATATAACAGTGTGTCCTTGGCTTGCAAGAAACACTTAGAAAGTATGTTAAAGCAGTAGTAGCAATTATAATAATATTTTTAAAAAGCTTCATTTGAAGAATTCAAAATATCTCCTATACTCACTGCACAGATTCTGAGATAACAATATCTATTTTATAAGAAATTTGATGGCTTTTTTGCTATCGTCACAGTATTTGAAAAAAAAAGAAAACCAAAGGACAGTGTTCAGTTACCAGTGTAGCACCCACATTGTCTCCTGCAGCTTGCCAGGTAGACTGAAAATTGGAAAAGGACCAAAAGGTGTTTTTGGAAGATTGCAACTTTTTTCTGTTCTCTGAAATGGGATTTTTTTTTCTTCAAATTTAACTTTTATGTGCTAAACATAAATCTTATTCTTCTCTCTTCCCCATTGCTTTTTCTGTTTTAAAGAATGTTATTTTTTTCTTTAAGTTCCATATAATACTAATCTGTTTCAGTGAAGATCATTCACATTTCAGTGTTCTGTTTCAGCTCTGAAACTTTTTGTGGGAATCTTGTTGGGGTACTTACAAGTTTTGCTTGCAAGTAACTGAAGATTGAATAAGATCAGTGTTACAGACATGGTGAAGGTTTTTTTTTTAATTTAATTTTGTTCAATGCATCATCAAGTATTGAGAAAACTCTGTAGATTTCATTTAATTAAAATATTCATGAACAGGTGGACACGTTTTCTATTGCAAATGGTGGCAAACTTACTCATTCTGTTACTTTCTGAATATTTAAGGCTTGTATTGTAAACTGTATTTTGCCAGTTACCACTGATCTTACGCAGCCTCAGTGAAGTGGCAAATCATTTTGTGTCATTAGCTGTAAGCCTCTAAAGCACTAAAGTACAGCATTCTATCTGTGACTGTCAGGGGTGAAACAGCACATTTGTCAAAGGAGTGACATAAAAATACGCAGTTGAACCGGCTTCCACTACACATAGCAAGTCTCTCTTAAATTAATAAAATTCTGTTTCCCATTTTCACTGGACACGTGGTTTTATCCACTATAAGCAGCAGTGGGACCTGAGTGCAGACATACTGAATGGTTTTGTGAACATCGCTACAGCACACCTGATTTATTCTGTCTGATCACAGAACTGCTCCATGTATTTCTCACAGTCATACTGAGAGCATCCAGGGAACCAGCCCCAGTTGTGACAGTCCCAGCTCCCCCTTAGTGCGTACACTTTGAATAATTACGATATTCTGTCAGTGACAGGAGCATTTATGTGCCATTTTGTTCAAACAGCTGCAGAAGGAGATTTTCTGTGAAACCATAAATGTAGGAGAATAGTGCCACAAGAAGTAATTCACAATGATCTGTCCTGGTTAGTTATATAAACTGCTCATTTCTCCCCAAAACACAGAAATTCATACAGAACTGAGTTGGAAAGTTCTAACCTTATTATTGTATTTCTAAACTGTCTCCTACCCAATTACTACCGCTCCCAAATTCCAAGCCGCTGACAGAACGGAGTCCAAATGTAATTTTGGCGAAGTCAAAGTAGTGAATTTCTTTTGTATCTAAGGAATTGAGCTGAGAAGGAGAAAATACTTCTGGTCATTGGCTCACTGTGGAAAGACAGAACAGATTGGACTGAGTACTGTATTGAAGTGTGATGTGCACCCGATGTTCTGAACACAAGGATACTGAGGGGCGTGATTGTGCCACCTACCCAGCACTTCCACAGGCACCTAACAGATGTATACCATGGCTTGTAATGGTACAGCAACTCAAGCTCTGTATGTATTCAGGGGAGAGAGTTAGGCACTTACAGAGGGTAGTTTGGAGTGTCAGACTTGTATCCTGATGGTAAACAGGAGGAGTGCTCCTGTCTCTTACATTCATCTCACACCCCAAATATATTTAACTGTACAATTAATGATAAAACATTCCAGGGAGGTGCTAAATCTTTCTTGCAAGAGTTTCAAACTGCTGAAAATACGATCTGACGAATCAATTCTGTATTTCAGAACATAATAATTATAATGAGTAAATACATAAAGACAAATGGCCCCATCATCTTGGCATAGCTGTATCATAATACAAACTTTCAAGGCGAAAAAAACCCTTGAATTTATCTTTCCTATTTTTTTTGCAGGTAAATCTGAGATATGATTAGTTTTCATTAGTAATTTAGTATTTTTGTTTAGAAGCAGTTACATTCATATGTCTCAAATCAATTACACTGGATTGCTGTTTGGTATCTTAGTCTTTAATTGATATTCAGTAACCAGAAACTTTCAGATTTTTAGATTAAAGTACAGAAGGAAAACAGTTATGGAGTTATGGTTATAAAGGGAGTAGAAATTTGGCAATTCAGAGAGCTAAAGGGCAAACTAGGTATTTTTTTGCTTTCTGTGGCTTTACATTAATGCATGGATTTTTCTGTAAGTTTTGAGAATACTTAAAAATAGTTGTGCCTGTTACATTTCTCTACATATAAAGAGTTAATAATCCTTCTCAAGATCTTTGCTACATGAGGGTTACAAGTCACAGATGTGATTTAGAACTATTAATGACTGTCTGTTTGAAGTAAACAGATGACGAGAGTGTTTTAAGTAGATTTGGAACCTATTTTTAAGATGGTTTACTGATGTGTTTTCCGAACATTGGATATTGAAGTGCATGTATCCGATAATGTTTCTGCATTTTTAGAGTTTCCATGGTCTCCTTTGCTCTTGTTTTAGGAAAGCAGTGTATGGGGCTTGTGGATCTGGATCGGGCACGGGCTGCAGAAGAACGCAGCTATTCTGTCCAAGTTGTATCTATGGAGCCAGAGAGTTGTTCTCCAAAGAACAATATGCTTGTGGGCATCCCTATATAGAGTGTGAAACGTGCATTTGATTTGAAGCTGAACATAAATCTTCAGTGCATACTGACATCCAGCAGATACAAGCATAGCTGGGAACCAGGCATCGTGCATCTTGAACACATTGAGTTAGGAAAAGGAAGCAGCACAAGAAGTCCTAGAAAGTGAACTGCATGCAGAGCATCACAAGTCGTGCTTGTTGTCTCTCATTAAGAAACTTTTTGTTCTCTGACTGAGAAATTTCTCAGTCTTAATGACTGTACCATACGCATCTGTAAAGGTTTAAAAAAAAGTTGGTCTCACTGAAGGGAAAGTGATTCTTTTTAGTAAAGCTGTCTTGGCTGCTTCAAAGTTGCATTCCTGGTCAAAACTGCATTTGCGTTCATAAGCAGAGCTGTTATTAGCCAATAATGTAGATCATTAGGGGAACAGAAGAGATCAAATTTATGGTGTGAGTGAAGAAGGCTGTGCAACAGGTGGTGGCTTGGCTTTGCTAAAGAATTCCATACTACTGTAGGAAGATTATTTTTAATAAAAGTTCATCAGAATACTTTATGCATCATTCTGCATATCGAAAAATGTATTCTAACTTATCAGTCTTTTTAAAAAAACCTAAAAATTATCTATAAGTACTATGCAAGGATTCTGTAACTTGCCATTTGGAAAGGTGTTTAGTTAAAAAAAGCAAACCCCTAATTATCCCCTGACCAGATAACAAGAGCTAGTGATGATGCCAGTGAATGGATACTTCACTACCACCTCTGCAAATTCAAGTGTACTGCATCCCATTCTTAAGAAACTTGCGGTCAGAAGGAATTTTTAAGGACAGTTCATGTGTCTATATATACCACCTTCATTGATTTTTATATTCAGTCTAAAATTTGAATAGTGCTGTTGTTGTGGAACCATTTGAAAAAAATCGACCACAGTCACATTACTGTAAAATGAAAATAAATATTCTTCTGTGCTCCGATTAGTAGGCAGTTTTCTACCCTAATTTAAAGTCATCTGTTGACACTAACACACTGGAAAATAGCGCATAATGAGCTATTTTTTTTTCCCCCTGCATGTTTATGGGTTTGAAATGTTTATGAATTCTGCCATGGATTAATATAAATGTATCTGAAGTTTGGTCACTGTGGACATACAAACAACACTCTATGTTGGAGGAAAAAAAAGAAAGGGATCCTGAAATATTTTTTTCTTCATGAAACTCACATCTCTAAAAGATCTGAATACTTGAATGTTTCAAATTTGAAGGCTGAAGGAAGCTGCACACTTATTTGGAAGCATAAAGGTGAGCAAGTGGGTATGAATTCATACCTTTAGCCTGATTTCTGCAGTGGATAACGACTAGGTACTTTTTCTGCGACTTTTTATACTTACAGCAGTAGCTGGAGCAAATACATGGCAATACCAATTGCCTCCAGGGTTTCTCTCAGACTTGCCCAAAGAGAACTCTGTTTTTAAGACAGTAATGTGTAAAGTCTGAACATTATCTGTGATAAATTACATTATTTAGAACTCGAGATACTATGTCTGGAGTGAGAAAATGTCTCTTCATTACCTTTTTGTGCTGAAGGGAGAACTCATCAAGGTGGGACACCTGATGGAAGCATTGATACTGTTTACAGTAAAGATCTTCACAATGCTCTGCTCCAGGCAATGGGTACCAGTAGAAGTGTTTTAATTATGGTGGTGTTGGATATTTGGTATGGTCTGATATGCAATAATAAATAGCTCTCAGTAGAGCAAAAATCTGTGCTGTTACATGCTTGAAAAATTCTGCAATGTCTCTCTCAATAGTCTTTTAGATCTACCAGAAAATGGAGAAGGAATGCATTTGGGATGTGCCATAGGGAGTGTGTGTGCTACTGAGTAAAAGATAAAAATGGCTTTTTTAACAGGCAAAACCAGTATTTCTTGGAAACAGAGGTGGAGAAGGAGCCTTATTTGGACAAATGTTCAGGAGGGCATTAAATACTTAGCACAGTCAAGCAAAATAACAAAAGTCACACAGGAATCTGAATACCAATCTCTGTTTCATTTGGGATTTTTTCCCTTTTTTTAAAGTACCTGTTTGCATGTTATTGACTCAGTTTCCCACAGGTGTTGCTTATGTGTGACTTCAGCAAATTATTTTATATCTGCTGCCCCACAGAGAACTAGGCTTCACAGGAAGAAAAGATTGATAGAAGTAAGGGAGAAAACCTGCGAAATCACTGTTGTGTTCATGCACATCGTGGCATCCTGTTTTTCTTGGCTGGGACAAACTATAGAAAGTGAGCTTGATTTTTTTATTTCCAGAAATCGGGGATCTTTTGATGACATCTTCTGGATGGTTACACGATAGTGAGACTGCATCCCACTTATAATACTGCTTTGTGACCTTGACCTTGCTATTGGCATCAATGGGCTCAAGTCTCTTTTCTTCACAGGAGAACAGAATCTTCCTCGTGTCTGAGTATGGAGTTACCTTACTAAGAATAGTAAAACCTGAACAGTACTTGAGGTGAACTATGTTTTGCTTATTGAAAACTGAAGAGAAGCAGATGAAAAAAAGCATAAAAGAAGATATTTTCAAGTTGATAACAGCTAATTTACCATGGATTAAACTCCTGCTCTGTGCCATGTACTTCCCTCTAGAAAAGTGAGCTCAATTACATTAATTTTTAGGTATGTTAATTTGTTACATGTTTCCATATACACGAATGGTATAAAATGAGTAATCACTTAAATATGTGAATGAATGAATTCTTTATTCAAAGAATGAATAAATAGTCACCTAAACGAGGTACCTGGACATCGCGGTTCTGGTAAGTGAACAACTGTTGTTCTTTTAGCAGCTTGTTATGCAAGGAGCTAGCTTGATGTCCAAGATGCAGACCTAAATCCTATTTGTGTTTTTTGGTTTTTTTTGTCTTTATCACATTAATTATCTGCTTCCTCAGTCCTATTTCAAGAGGTGTTAATATTGCCATAGTTAGGCAAGGGTAGTAATAAACAAGGGACATGACTAATAGGTACTTTGTGCCTGTCAATTTTCCTGTGGCTTGATCTTAAAACTAAAATTAAAATTGAGAAGTTAGTATTACTCTACTAAACCAATCTATTGATTTTTTTAAAATTAAAATTACATGTGTTGTCAAAGTTACCCGTTGATTGTTCTTACAAAGACACATATAAAATTATTCATTTGTAGGGCTGCCATAAATTTTAGACTGATGTTTTATGTTTCTGATTATTGCTTGACTTGCAGCTACTTGGATCTGTCATTTGAAAAGGCAATGATAATAAGCAGAAATTTCTTTTTAGATAGCTGTCTACCCAGGTGATTACTGTGCCAGGTATTCTCATTGAAAAGAGCACTTAAAAAAACCTGTATGGTCAAGTATGTGTGCATACAAGTCTAAAACTTTAAGTAATCTGCAGTGAAATGGCACACAGCTGTTTTTATAGTGGGTTTATATGGATATTAGGTTGGCTAGACAGCATCAGCTGCAGTTATTTTCTGCCAAGATTTTGGTTTAGGATTAGTAATTTACCCTTTCAATGAATATATATATATTTTTTTTAAAAAAAGTATTGAGCTGGAAAGGCATTGCTTAACAAAAGGTAATTGAACAGATGAAGGGGGTGCCACAGTGGGCTATTGATAGCACCCCGTTTTCTTGCTTTCCCCTCTCCTAGTCCTAGTTTTCCAACGCAGATCATTACTTTTGGGTGTGTTGGAACAGCATTCCATGCATATTTTTAATTGTTAACAGTTTTTTTGAAGTGTAAAAGTGTCAATTTAAAATAACATGCCAGTGTACTTAACATGCTCTTTATTCTAATATGTCATTGCTATAACTTTTAACATTTTTATCAGTATTTGGTTGCTTTTGCTGTGTTTAGTGTTCATTTAACATTACAATTAGCATTTTGAGGTTTTTGGAGGAAGTGTGGTTTTGAATTTATGCAAATAGAGTAAGTTACTGTACTTTGAACTGTTACCAGTACAACTGTGCTGTAGCTCAAACACCGTCAATTATAGCAATATAATTCTAAGTTATATTCAAGAGCAATGCAATTGTCCATCCATGGACATGAGAGACAAAGGTAAATCAGCTCCTTTAGATGAAAGGAATAAAGAGGAAAAGGTATATCTAAGGTAAACAAAGCAACAGTAATTTCGTCTGTGCCACGGAACAGAAAACTCACATGTTAGTTCTCCTTTATCTCCAGCATTGTCTTGGTGCCCAACTTTTGATGTGTTTCTCAGATTTCGTGTGTTTTCTTTGTATTCCTGTAATTTTATTCATCCCCAAACAGTAGCATGTCAAAGGTGTCGGCGTGACTCCAGTTACAGGTGTATTGTTTTGGAATGTTTAGAGATTGATATGCCGGAACAAATGTTCATGTTGCAGGTAAGAAAAAAGGAGAGAGAATATTTGCAGTTTTAGAGCTTGCATGGGGAGGCAATACCTGTTTCTTAAGGAAGCTACAAAATTAGATGGAAATCATAGATGTATCAGGTTGGAGGGCTTCCAGGAGGCCTTGCTCTGTGATTTTCCCAGGTCTGGGAGTGAGGGTGACTGGCACGGTGTTCCCTGTGTTGTCCTTGCTGTAAGATTTACCTTTCTGAAATCGCTGGGGAACTTCCCCAGGCTTCACAGGCTTTCAAGGACAGTAAGGAGCAGCCTCATGATGCTGCAGCCAGCTCTTCCAGTGTTCTCAGGTGTGTCCTGTCTGCTCCGATGGACTTGTATGAGTTGGAGCACAGGCTATGGTATGATGGGAAGTGTTAAACATAGAGGAAATTGGTAAGTTTTCTCACCTATGGAATAAACATGAACAAGTCTAAAATTAACTTTTATTTTGCTCATTAAAAAAAAAAGCCACACTAACTACTACACTGAGGAACATCTGACTTTTATCAGATGTTTTAGCCTAATATTTTCAAGACAGCCGGGGTACTTTTGGTGCGGGCATGTGGAGGGGACCAGTGGGGGTGTAAATGTGGAGAGGGAAAGGTGAGCTGAGTGGCAGATGGTTATTTGAGATACTCCAGCTGTGGAACTCACTCCCTCTAGCAATTTTGTTTTCCTGCCCCCCCATATGTTTGTAGAGAGATTTTTAATGTGGTATTTCCTGAACTGTGGACCATTTCTGGATTATCTATGGCTGTTTGAATTGATCAATGTAAGAGCTGCTTGTGTATTTTTTGTGACGAGCTGACCTACTGTTTCAGTCTATGTAAAAATACATATTAAAACACAAGCATAATGTAAAGAAAATCATGTAGGTGATTTCAATAGCTTGTGTACAAAGAATAATATTATTTTGCAAAGAAAATACAAAAGTGGTGGTCTGGGATAACATAACCAACTTAGTGTAGACCTCTGGGGCTGCCAATAAGTTTGCAAACTTAAAGGTAATTGATCGTGTTTGTAACGTGTGTGTTTCTTTGCGGCATCTGTATTTAGCCAGTGTAATTCCCCATGACAAACTATCACTGAGCCAGGTTTTAAATTGGTGTTTAAAATAGAGGGTTTTTTTAAAATAAGG